TCCGACTGATTGGCTAAGACTTCAATATCGAGTACATTCGAACAGATGCGTTTGGTCAAGCAGGCACAGCATTATCACGTTTAATCGTCGAATCTCAAAGAGATGCTTATGACCCCGTAGTTGAAACAATTATCGCTGCAGTTGACGTTGACCACGACCTAACCATACTATCTACGGCAGTTACAGGATCAAAAGCTGCTAGTCATAACGTGACTATTGTTACTTCAAGCGACGCTACACTCTGCAGAAAGTCATCGAGAGCATGCGTAATGGATGGAAAATTTCGATTCCGGACGACCCCAACCTTCGGCCGTACCACAAACCGTCAGATGCTCTTTTTATCGTGAACGGCATCATTATGGTTGGCGATCGCGTAGTAGTACCATCAGCCACGCGTTCGCAAACGACGTGCTCAACGTGTTGCATCGAAACCATCCGGGAATTCGTGGAATGAAAAATTTAGTTCGGCATAATTTCTATTGGCCGGGGCTTTCAACGGATGTCGAGAACTTGGTCGACAATTGCTCCAGATGCCGAGGAAGCTTGATTGCACCAGTCAAGGTTCCACTCTCACCTTGGCTGGATACAGGCAAACCCTGGGTACCAGTTCATATGGATTTCGCGGAACCCAGGAAGGGTAACGCTATTTCGGTGGCCGTGGACAGTTACAGTCGTCTTTTGGATGCTACATGGATGATCCTAATGACAACCCGTGGGTTAGCCAACTACCGTCGAATCCTGATTCGAGATTATGGACCACCCGAAACGTTCGTCACCGACAACGGGATGCAATTCGTTTCCGAAGAGTTTGCACAACTTTGTTCGGAATTCAACATCCAATACTTACGGAGCCCTCCGCACATGCCACAATGCAATGGTCTGGCGGAACGCGTGGTACAAACTGTAAAGAAGGCTCTCGATGATTCGTGTGACAACCTTGACAGCATCGTTTCTACATACAAGTACACACCTCATAGAGAGTTACAAGATAGAGCGCTAGCTGAAATTTTCTTCGCACGTAGACTTCGAACTTCATTGGACATATTCAAACGCTCCCGCTGGTACGTTGCCCTTGTCATCCGCTCAGCAAGACACGAAGGATCATTTCGACCGTCGCTATGGGGCCAGAACCAGGCACTTCGAGGAAGGGGAGGAGGTAATGATTAAATTCTCAAACGGCCCCCGTGTCTGCCGCTCAATTACAAACGTCAAAGGAACGTCGATTGCCGATGTCCGAATTGGGAATAAGATTGCGACGCGACATTTCAACCAGATTTGGAAGAGAAGCCCACCCATCGACATCATCGACGAAGTAGAAGATCAGTCAGACGCGCCTGACGAAACCGGACAACCATCAGCTGGCAGATCTCATCCGTCTTCGCTACCAGATCTACAGGCTCCGAATTCTACCGCTCGATCCAACTCGGCTGGCGAAATGCAACAACCCAAGGAACCTGCTTCCTGCCCTCGCCGCCAATGTCGTAACGACGTTAATTACGAAACGTTGGCGAGTCTTAGAAGTTACCGGTGAAAGATAACCCTTGAGAGAGGGAGGAATGTTGGGTCTGGGACGTTCGTGAGGATTCGCGTGCCAATATTGGCGGGACGCCTTTGATCGTTTCCCGAACTTTCCGGTACCGGGGCCCGGCCCTGTATAACCCCGGCGTCAAGGGTCACCGAGATAGTGGTGTCCTGACTATCGACGAGAGCACCGATCGATAGCGGATCTAACAATACTTATGTAACTTTTATTACCATTAGTGTGAGATTTAGTGTAAAGACAAGGGTCGGTTTACCTCGTTTGTATTCCATGCCATCGAGTTCCATAGTTATTCGTTTGCTCCAGTTATTGGCCGATTGCTTTAGGCCATATATGCTTCTTTTTAATTTTACAACTAGGTTCTTTTTCCCGCTGATTTTGTATTCCTGAGGCTGCTTCATATAAATGTCCTCGTCTGAGGCCTTCATTACCGAGGAGCAGTACCAACTTATATCTCCACGATTGATAATTATCATTGTTCAATTTTGAAATAGCAACACGTGGTAACTCCGCCATTGTTCACTACACTCTTTACTAACTTTCCGTGATTTACCCTTTTTTAATAATCACCTGTCAGCTTTATCAACTTATACAACAACCGTGATTCCTACGGAACTGTCGAGAATTACCGCAAAACAGTTCAATCGACAATTTTACATGTTGCGCCGTCCGATGGCGTCGTTGCTTCTGTGCCGATATAATCGATATATTCATTATCGATTTCTCCAACAGTTATTATATAACTTTTCACCTTCGTTTTACCTTTCACATGAAGACATGGATCCGCTTTTAATTCGGTGTAATGTAATTTCGCTACTTTCTTTTGTCAAACATCCATTCCAAACGCTCGCTGATTGTTTGAGCTCGTCTATTGGTTTCTTTAATTTTAGAACCCAATCTTTTTCCTGCTACCTGCTCTTGGTATAGTAAATATCTTTATTATCGATTTCACCAACTATTTCTATATTACATATATATCCAGTTTAACTCTCCGATAATACTAGCACAAGTATTCCATACTTGGTGAACTTTCTTGAATTGTACGTCTTAAATTTTAATTTCCCACGCGAAGGGATCATGGCTTCATCTAGCGACAGGTTTTGATGAGGAATATAAACAATTTTAAATTTTTCTGTTAGATAATTGTAAACAGGTTCTATTTTTCAGAGTCTATCGCTGTTTTCGTTCATTTTCACGTTATCGTTAAAATATAAATACTTCATAACCTGTACAAACCTATTCTTGCTCATTAATTTTGAAAAGATAGGTGTTGCCAAATATGGATTAACGGAACAGTATTCCTTTATCTTTTCTCTTCCTAATTGTCCCATTAAAATAAATATTCGAAACACTTTCTTTATTTCTGAACAGGAAACGTTTCTCCATTTTTCTTGTTTCGAATTAGACTTATATTTGTAGGAATGTTGGGTAGGCAACAGAATAAGCAGTGATGTACTATGCATGGCTGAAAAGAAGTCAACTCGTTCGGGTGCTGGGCAAGAGGAGTATTCCATTTGCTCCACCTACACTGTCGCCAATAATACCCACTCTTCTATGACACTCCCAAATCGACTACCAAGAAGTTCGGTAAAGTGACATGATAAAGTGACAAATGATATCCGTAAAATATTTATACTTGAATAATACATTGCAAATGTGCAAACATAAGAGCAAAACATGATTATTTTCACTTATACGTCATAAATATTGAACACATATTTAATACGTTTCGTTTCATAAATATATTTTATTATTAGAACTTTATAATTTGTCCGATAGATATTTGGTAAATTCATTTAACGTGTGATTCATAACACGCGTGTGATAGCCCCATTGAGATTTCACCATAAGATTGTTCTTCACGTTTTGTTATTCGGGTACCAGGTCCGTGGGATGCTTTCTTTTTAATCTTCTTACTGTCGGTTTTTCGTACACTTTTACGGTAAGTTGATTAGGGTGTGCTACAATCCTCTCCTTGTGTTTGACGGCATATTTGTTTACCTCTCCTAAAACCATTGGAATATTTAGATCGTTTCGTATATCTGAATTTCTTAAGTACCTTAATGCATTAACGACAGTTCTCAGTACTTTTGATTGTAGTGATTCAAGCTTTGATATATGGCTCTTTGCTGCCATAAGGGAACTCCATAGGTCCACACAGGCTTTGTGATTGTCTTATAGGTCTTTAGTTTGTTTTCCATGCTAAGCTTAGATTTTTTACTAGTCAGCCAATACATTTGTCTCCTTTTTATTTTTATATTTTCTATTACCGATTTAATATGTTGGTTCCACGTAAGTCTTGTTTCCAGATGTAAGCCTAGATATTTTGTTTGTTTTGTTTGGGGTACTAAAATGCTATTTAATGTAATATTTGGTGTATTCTGCTTGCAAAGTGCAAACGTGACATGGTTACATTTACCAGGGTTAGCTTTAATTTTTTTATCCGCAAGCCATTTTTCTATTTTCCTTATGTGTTTTTGAAGTATGTTTACTGCCACCTTTGGGCCAGAATTTGTAGCTATTATTACAGTATCATCAGCGAATGTCATTATTGTTACAAATCGCGAGTGTAATTCTTAGTCTTCAAGTTCGATCACTGGATTGCCGAAGAATTCTAAAACGTCAGAATAGATTTTCCCTACTGAAAATGTTGACAGCACTCTCTGAACTTCGATGAAAGACCTTTTATAGTTCCTTTTATAGTGAACAGGCGATTATTATTTAAATCGAACATTCTGGGAGGTGCTGGATTATTCTGCACTGAAGTTACGATCCGCTCTTCTTGGCCGAATACCGGGTGGTAATGATGTCGTAACACTGCTCTCCGCTAAAGTCAGATCGTCTCGTTCTGACACAGAGTTCTTGGAGTCATAAGGGGTCAGCCTCTCCAAGTTGATTTTGCTTCGGCCTCTTGTACAAGGTTGAACACGATAAACCAACTTTAGCGGTCCTTCCCACGATGTTTGGAGTTTCGGGGGACAATCCTTTTCTTCTCCGCAGGTTAAAGAGCAAAACCAAATCACCTTCCTTGAACCCGTCTGAATTAGCTCCACGGTCGCAACGGTCCTTCATTTTGTCAATAATGAGCCGCGTCCTTTGCCTTACGAAATGGTGCAAATCTTCTATCTCGTCCCTGGAAGTTGTCCAGTATTTACCTATACCCAAAGCTTCACCCGGTTTCTTTCCAAATTTAAGGTCCGCTAGAAGCCTCAGGTCCATTCCAAAGAGAACTTTAGCGGGTGCATGTCCAACAGTTTCGTGCAGCGCAGCACGATAAGCCAGCAAGAATATCTGGATGTGTTTGCCCCAATCCCGCTGACTTTTGTGCATGACCTTCCGTGAATGTCCGTCAAGGGTTCGGTTGAATCTATCAACCATTCCATTAGACTGAGGGTGCAGCGCCGTCGTCCGAGTCTTCTTGATGCACAACATGGAGCACATTTCTCTAAATACAGATGATTTAAAATTCCTACCCTGGTCGGGATGTATTTCAATAGGTATTCCAAACCGAGTCAACCAGTTCTGAGTGAAAACTTCAGCAACCGTTTTCGCCTCCTGGTTGGGTAACCCATAGGCTTCTGGCCACTTGCTGAAATAGTCCATGACCACAAGTACATATCTGTTTCCCGCGTCGCTGGAAGGAAAAGGACCTGCTTTATCCAGAGCCAAACGTTCAAATGGCGCTCTCGCGTTGTACTGACGCATTCTTTCTTTACTTCTAGTTTTCGGACCTTTCGCAGCCATGCACTGGTCGCAATTGCGTATCCAGTCGGCCATTGTTTCCCTGCAATTGAGCCAGTATAATCGCTGCTTAACTTTTTCCAAGATTTTATGACACGCAAATGCCTCCGCTCAGTCAATTGTGAAACTCTTCTAAGACGTTAGGAATTCAGGATTTGGAACAACCATCAAATTTTGAACGTGTTTCCCGTCTTCACTTTCCCAAACGCGGTGAAGGACTCCATCAATCAACTTCAAACTGTTCCACTGCACCCAATAAGCCTTAGCTACCGGACTCTCAAAAATATTTCTTCTCTGGAAGGTCTCTTCCCTCTCTTTGGCTTTAAGGAGTTTAGCTAGGTCGACGTCGTTTAGTTGGCTGTTCCGTCTCGCGCAGGGTTCTCATTCACCATCCGGTTAGGTTCAACAATTGCACGTTGATCATTCCTTCACATCGCTCCGCTTTGGAGCAATGTCTGTGCTCCAATGCACAAGGTCGTCGGGAGAGTGCGTCCGCGTTTCCGTGATGGCCGCCTTTCCGGTGCTCGATTTCAAAGTCATAATTCTGTAACCTCTCTATCCACAGTGCAATTTGCCCCTCCGTATTCTTGAATTGGAGTAACAATCTTAGCGCTGCATGATCCATCCTTAAATGGTAGCGCTGCCCATACAGATATTTATGGAAATGCTTCACACATTCGACAACTACCAACAGTTCACGTCTCGTCATACAGTAATTCATCTCCGGTTTGCCTAGGACTCTGCTGTAATAGCCGATAACCTCCTGACCGTCGACAACTTGAGACAGAACACCCGCTATACCGTGGGCAGTGGCATCCGTATCCAGAAGGAACTTCTTTCCCGGGACTGTATTTGCCAATATGGGAGTTGTGTAAGGAAGCTCTTTCAACTGTTGGAACGTCTTCTCTTGTTCTTCGAGCCATATAAATGGGTAGTTCTTCATGGTGAGATTGTGTAAACTCTTTGCCACATTCGCAAATCCTGGAACGAACCGCCGACAGTAAGTGCAAAGTCCAAGAAAGCTTCTAACCTCGCTCACGTTAGTTGGTCGAGGCCAATTTCTGACAGACTTCATTTTTTCATCATCCGTCTGAACGCCTTCCGCTGTCACATTATGTCCAAGGTATGTAACTTACGTTTTAAACAGGAAGCACTTCATAGGGTTCAGCCGAAGCCCAGCAGGAGCGAATCGTTGAAAGACTTCCTCCGAGTTTTTGAGGTGGTCGTCAAAACTTGTTCCCATAACGATGATGTCATCGAGATAAACTAAACAAGTTTTCCAGTTAAGGCCTTTAAGCACGTGTTCCATCAAACGCTCGAAGGTTGCAAGAGCATTGCAAAGCCCAAAAGGCATCACGGAGAACAGCCACAATCCATCCCCTAAGCTAAAGACAGTTTCCTCCCGGCCAGACTCCACGACCTCCACCTGCTAATAACCGCTTTTCAAATCTAACGTAGAGAACCATTTAGCGCCCGTTAAAGTATCCAAAGTGTCATCTATCCGAGGCAAAGGGTAGCTGTCCTTTTTTGTAACATCATTCAGTTTTCTGTAATCCACGCAAAAACGAGTACTCTCATCCTTTTTCTTAACTAGCACGACCGGTGTGCTCCAAGGGCTTGTTAATGGCTCAATCACACTGCTCTCTTGCATATCCCTCACAATTTGGTCTGCCTCTCCACGTTTCGCCAGTGGAACTTTTCGTGGAACTTGCCGGATCGGTATCGCATCTCCCGGACTATTCGATGTTTCACGATGGAAGTTCTTCCAGCTTTACTGTCCTTATTTGTAAAAATGGGCATATTTCTCCAGCATCCTCTTCGCCTTCTTTCTTTCCAACCCCCTCACCGCACTTAACCACATATTAAAGAACCTGGCAGTTTCCGGACATGGTTCGGAAAATTCGCCACCGCAGCTCTGAGGAAGATCTACAAAATTAACTACAGCTTCCATGCTCTGACATTTCCCAATCGGTATTCCTTTATGGAGTGTAACCAGAGTCCCAAATCCGTTCGGGATCCGTGCGTTCTACTCTATTTTCACCAAAGACCTTCCAAACACACGCGATACCTCTTCTCCTGCTTCGACAACGCACAACTCGTCTTCGCTACAATCCCCGTCCACGCTCGTCCAAACGATCGCTTCGAATTTAGGAGGAATCTGCTGACGATGACTCACGATTATCTTCCTGCTTTGGACACTGTGTTCATACCCGATATACAAGGGTATTTCCATGTTTTGACAAGACAACACTCTTCTATTCAGGTCCATTGTTAGACCGCTTGTTAACATAAAATCAACTCCTATTATCGCTTCATCCATGATCTCAGCTACAAGGAAGGTGTGCACCACGATCAAGGTTCTAATAAAAACTGAACAGGTCACACTTCCCAAAATTTTCGCTTCTTCCCCAGTTGCCGTAAACAACCTGTAGCCAGACAGCGGCTCTACGGTCTCTCCTGCTAGATCCGGTCTCAAATTAGAATGAGTCGCGCCCGTATCGAGAGTCAGCAGCAGTGATCGTCCATTGGCAGTTCCGCTAATCGTCAAGTTGTTGCTCTTCCGCCCAATTTGTGAAACGGAAATAGTGGGCCAATCTGTTTTGAAAACCAACTCTCGCCCCTTTGAACTGGTTCATTTTAGTTTAACGGTTGCTGCGGTTCTGAGGCACTGTTCGAGTAGACGGCATTTCGCTTCTTTCCAGTTGGAGCACCGTTTGATTGGTTGCCACTGCAATTACGTGCAATATGTCCAGATTTCCCACAATTAAAACATTTCACTTCCGAAGCGTTCCGCATACCTCTCGTAACTTGCAAGAAAGACTGGACGAGCTCCTTCAAGGTATTCACTAAAGTAGAGGATTGCTCCACTTCTGCCCGATGAACTTTATGAACAAGTCGACTCAGAAGAGTAGCTGTTTCTTGCGTGAGCGCGTGTGACACCGTCTCAGCGAAAGTTGGCGTCGGCGACGAATAAGTTGCCCGTAATGGTTCCCACATCCCTTATTCCATTTACAAAGGACTGAATCTTAACTGATTCGATAAATTCTGCTGGGGCATCCGCATTCGCTAAACGTGCAAGCCGTTCAATTTCGGTCGAATATACCTGTAACGTCTCGTTAGCTGTCTGGTAACGATTCAGCAATTCCATCTGGAAAATCTGTTGTCTATGCTCGCTGGCAAAACGTCTTTCGATAGCAGCCATCAAAGCGTCATAATCACCTCGTGCATACTCAGGCACCGTTTGAAGTATCTCCGCGGCGGGGCCTTTCAAGGATACAACCAACGCAGCTACCTTGTCTTCATTGTTCCAGTGATTGGTAGATGCCGTCATTTTAAACTGTAGCTTGAAGATTTTAAATGGTGCAGTTCCGTCGAAAGTGGGCGCTTTTAATTTCGTAGTGACAGCTCCTGTTACCACACCATTCAGTTGCAACCCACGCATGCGGTTGTCCAGACGAAAAATTTCAGCTTCGAATCTATGATTCAACGTCTGGAGTTCGCCTTCGACCTTGTGATTCAGTGTGCTCAGCTCCATTTCGACTACATCTTGCCTTGTCCGGAGTTCGGCCAAACTCTCCTCTATGCGCGAAAGCTGTTCACGAACCTGGGAGGAGCTTTTCGCTAAACTCTCTTGCAGCCGTACTTCGAGTCGCGAACAGTTTTCTGTCATACTCGTCCGAATCTGCTCTTGAATACCTTGCAAGACACTCAATATCGAACTCATGTCAACAACTGCATCTGATCGCGGCACTTCCAGTCTTCCCTCCAGTCTTGGGACCGTTTTCGGAGCACCTTGGTTAAATTCGTGTTCGTCAACCTCAATGCCCACAGCCTCCAACGCTTCCCAAAGACGAGCTTGGAGATCCGCTTCTTGTCCAGTAACACACAATCCCCTGGCTTCCAGCTCCTCTTCAGCTTTGAGATTTTCAGCTCGGCAAATTTTACCACGATTGGAATTATTCAGCAATCCCACTCCCAATTATTACAAATCGCGAGTGTAATTCTTATTCTTCAAGTTCGATCGCTGGAATGCCGAAGAATTCTAAAATGTCAGAATAGATTTTCCCTAGTGAAAATGTTGACAGCACTCTCCAAACTTCGATGGAAGACGTTCCTTTTATAGTCAACAGCCGATTATTATTTAAATCGAACATTCTGGGAGGTGCTGGATTATTCTGCACTCGAGTTACGATCCGCTCTTCTTGGCCGAATACCGGGTGGATATGATCTCGTAACAATATTATTTTCAACTAGTATCTTAAATTTTGCCCAGTTGGTGGTTTCGTCGCATATTGAGTTCGTGTTATCGTAGTATACAGGTTTACTAGTGTATTCCATGATTAGAGGTGTGTGACCAGAACTGAGGTCAAGACTAGTCTCTATAGTGAGCTTACTCGTGCTAAGCCCTTTTATAATTGCAAAATCGAGAACATCTGGAATTTTGTTCGTATCCGATGGCCAATAAGTTGGTTTTCTTGTTGATAACATATTAAGATTGCTGTTTTTTATGAATGTTTCTACTGATCTTCCTCTAGGCGTAATGATTCTAGATCCCCACCTGTGATGCTTGGCGTTAAAAAATCTCCCGCTACAATATATTTGTCACTCAGGGATTCAAAGTATTCTTGCCACTTTTCATGTGCCCATTTTGTGTCTCGGTGGTGCATACATAGCAGAAACTTGGAATGCATTACAATCAGTTTGCACTGTGAACGCAGTTGCCTGGATATGCTCCTGGTTAAATTTGCTGTACAGATGATGCTTGATTTCGATTTTTATTATTATTGCACTGCCTCCGTGTGCTTTTCCTGACGGGTAGTTAGAGTTATATACAGTGTAGTATGGAATTTTGATATAGCTTTCTGTAGTGATGTGCGTTTCTGAGACAAAGAGTATACCTATGTTGTTTTTGTATACGAACGTTTTTGTTTCAAGGACTCACTGTTGCAGTAAGTTGGAATTCCAGAATGCCATTTTTAGATTAGCCATTTTTATTTCTTTGCTTCTAGGTTTATGAGTAGTTACAGCATAGTTGTTAATTGTTGTGTCTGCTGTCTGGGTAATGCGTTTTGCTCGATTAACATTTTTGCTATCAACTCTGTGTTCTTAATGGATTGCTTTAGAAGTTCGTTAATTTCTGTGTTTCCGTACTTATTGATGGTTTGTTTTTGATCAATTTGTAACGTTGTGTTGGCAGTGACCTGTGCATAATTCCGTGAGTCTTTAAGGTTAGTATTTTTGTCACTCGTATTGTATGCATAGTGGGTGTTTGTTTCTAGGTTATTTTCTGACCTCTTAAGCTGAACAATTTGCTGTGAGTACGTTCTGTTTCGTAACGGTGAAAATAGTTTCTTTTGCAGCTGTTTTCTTACTTCACAGCCTTTGTAACTTGCTGGACGGTTACCTTTGCAATTAAAGCATTTTACAGTCTATTTCACATACGAGTGAACAGTTGGTTGATAGATGGTTTTGTGCACATTTAACGCATGCTAGGGTTTTGTTGCAGTTATTTTTTGTATGGCCATATTATTGACACCGTATACATTGCGGTATATCTTTTTTGTATCGAGGTGATTCAATGTTTACTATGATACTTAATATTCTTTTGACACTGAACATGTCTTTGTTATTATTTTTTGGTTCGAATTCTATTAAAAAACGTTGTAGTGGTTGTTTTGTATCGTATTTGATCATATTGTTTGCACATCATACCTCGTGTCCCATTTCTCTGAGTTCTACCACGATATTTTGAATATTGGTTTTCGGGTGTAGTCCTCTAATGACGGCTTTGTAGCTTTTTCCGGTTTTCAATTGGTATGTGTGATAGGCTGCATTTTTTGATTTTAATGCTTGAGTTATTTTACGGAAGTTGTCAGGAGTGTTTGTTTGGATTTTGATTTCATCAATTTTAATTTGTTTTATAGTATAATTGTTTGCACCTGGAACATTGATTTGTAGTTCAATGAGTGGGTCTATTATTTCAGCATCTACGTAAATTGGAGGTGGTTTAACATTTAGTGTGTTACTAATAGCATTGGAACCAGTGTTTGCTGTTACTGTGTCAGGCGGAACCTATTACAACGGTGACATATGTGGAAACCCCCACCAGGGGGAGCACCCGCACCCGGAAATACGCGGGCGCCGTGCTTGGAAAAACCCTCTCGTCATCCGTGAGGAATCATCCCAGGAGTTGACCGTCCATAACAGGAAGTGACCCACTCAGCCGTCGCTACACTCATCCAGCACTATCGTGTCGAGTCAGAGACCCGTCGTTTCCAGCGGGGGCCACGAGGAAGCGGGGTCACCAGCATAAAGCTCGGTCACTTGCAGGTTCGAAAATATAAAATATCTGCGAAAGTTTAGCGGACGAGGAGTCTCACCGCTGACCGCTCCGGTACATCTGACTTCGTAGAAGTCAGTGCTTGCGTTACCATTGCGGGTTATGTTCCTGGGTACATCTTTACCTTATACGACGTTTGGAGGGCTTTGCGGCTATGTAAGATGCAGTCTATGTGTTTATGTGTTAAGTTCTTTCTCTTCGCGTTTGATGAAAATTATATTAGCAATATTATCGAGATACATAAAAGTATCATGTTTAACTAATTCTTTAAATTTGCAGGGCCACAAGATATTTTTTTCTTTGAGCCTCTT